GCGTCAGTGTTATAATCCTAACAACTAAGCTCACCATGTATTATATGGATAGTATTCTGCCAGTTCGAGGCTATCTCAGATGACATCACCATCATTTTTAAAATGTCTGGCAAATCGATAAACTTTCACTTCTAATCACCTTAAACTACGGTGCAGACAGAATGGAGAGAGAGATAGATAGGAAACTAATTACTTAGCCCTTTATATTCCATAAAAAAACCTGAGTATACTGATAAAAACAGATTCATGGTTCATATCAAAAGAAGTTTTTCTGATCAACTGAATGAACATTGACTTCAGTGGTCCTATGATTAAGTGTTTAGAAGTATACGTGAGTGATATTATTCAGTCGAAATTTTCCAGCATCGTGGAAACACAAGAAGAGGGAAGATATGTTATTCAGCAGGCCTTTCCTTATATGTGTTCCTTGTCAAGATCGGATGGGTATTATGGGAAAATTTTTACTTCGATTGTGACTAGTGATGGCATCTAGGATGCCCATTTCGTTCTACTTTTGACTCATCATCTAGATGTGACTGGATCCTGCTTAGATTTGAAGCTAATAGTCATTGTTTCAAATGCTAAGGAGTTATCCCACATGTTACTGAGCCACAAGAAACAACTTCTGGATAGAAGATATTCTTCGTTATAATGAAGCCGACATTCACTCGATTTGATAATGCTGTATTAGAACAAAAAATAATGAGATTCATCGAGCAGAATAAAACCGATCCATTTTACTGAGATCGCTTCCATGTCACCCTCGAACTCACACAACTAGTCGTTTCCTACTCAGATTTCCCTCGAGCATCTGCATACTAAGTTATGTAACTCGGAAATCTCCCCAGCGCATGTCAGATCCATCTCTGTTTTCTTCAGCATGTTTTTTTGGAAAATGGACTCTTCATTTGTTCGTCCCCAGAGTTCTATGTTACTAATCCTTTCCAGCCAGCTATATGACCTACAATATGAGTCAAAGGCAAGTGTTTGTTGATGAAAGTTTGTAGCTATTGTTCAAAATGATTTTGGTAAAGCATCACATCTCTGAACCAGCATATAAAAGTACCGAGTTGACACGAGTGTTTGAGCATTCAGATCTTGTTCCTAATGTTGAGTGCAGTAGATTTCTACAGTGATTTAAGATTAATCGATACCTGTTTTGATTTTCTGATCCTACCTTTTTTTATTCTCACTTGTGCCACCTTTTTTTGATTACGGCTTGATTCCACACCGTATTTTTCGGTTCACGGATAGAATTTTTCGCATGTGATATCGGTAGCCCAAATTTTGCAGACCGACCATAGATATCAGGTGTTTGTCGGCAGGGATCGAACCCTCAGACCATTTGCACGGTAGGCTAGAGTCCTAACCACTGTGCCACCTGTAGTTAAATTTATGCTGCCTAGATAAGCGAAAGATATGACCTATTTTAGATGTCTCCCACTGATGACAATTGGTGTTTGTAGTTGTTGGCTAGTTACCTCTGTATTCCCTGTCTACATTTGGAATCCTGTGTTTTCTTCTTCATCTTCTTCTTCTGCTGCTGGTAATTTGTTGATTTTCTCCTGTAGATCCTTGCGTTTGTATGACATTAAAAATAAATCATCTTCGAAGTTTAGATATTCTAGAGTTTTATTAAGTGCTGAGCGTATGTCGTCCCCAATGTCTGTTGCACAACCCAGTCTACCACTATAAGTACTGTCGCCGATGATAGTGGATAGTCTTATCTTACTTCTTTCTTCAGTTTTTAGGCTTTTCTGTGTAAAATAAGCCTATACTTTTATAATTACAATTTTAATACACTTTAGTTCATAGGAGATAAAATGTGGAATAATAGTAATCAAGAATAATCATGGCATGTATATAGATGAATCGAGCTACCAAGTTCGGACGTACAGGAGTAAGACAAGGATAGCTGCTCATTATCACTGATTATATTCTCAATTGTTGTGAACTGGATTATGCATCAACCTGTGCACAAGGAGTGAGAAGTCAGGACTACACTGGACCACTGATAAGAAAACCGTGGAAGATCTGGATTTCGCAGATGATTTCACAGATGTCTGTTGTCACACAAATTCGAAAACTTTCAGGCGAAAACCAACAAAATGGCATAAAAAGCTGGCAGCGAAGACAGGACTGCAGGTGAACACACAGAGAAGACGGAGGTGATGAAGATAATCAATTAACAGTAGCAACAGCAACAACAACAACCAGTACTAGTCACCATCAACTAGAGAGATTTAACACGGGTTACCTCTTTCACTTATCTAGGAATCATTGTTTCAATTACAGCCAGGGGAATGGATGAAGATGTAAGAGTCAGTCAGAATCGGAAAGGTAAGATACGCCTTCATCAACCTGGAATCAGTTTGGAAATCTGTTTTCAGCATAAGGAACAAGATTCGGATTTTCAAACACCAATGTCAAGTCGGTCATTCTGTACGGATTATAATCCTGGCCAGGCTGTCACGAAAAGGATTTTAAATATGGCTGCAGATTTTTGTCAATAGCTGCCCACTTCACTGACTGGCTCCATGCTGAAGATCAACTGGCCAGAAAGAATTATTAAAAAGGAATTTTGGCTGGCAAAAAACTAATATGCAAGAGCCGATCGCTCAACAAATATGTAGAAGGAAATGGCGATGGATGGACGGGGCATAAATTCAAGAGGACTTTGAATGAAATCGCCCTCAATGCAGGCCATTCCTGGAGTGAAATCCTAATGGGAAGCGACGAGTGGGTCGCTGGTGCGAGGGTGATATGAAGGAGATCAGTTGGCAGAGAGAAGATAAGAGATTATTGTCAATCGTGGATGTGGCTAAAAAGGACAGCAGAAAACAGAACAAAGTGGAGATATGTTGTTAAAGCCCTATATTCTACTTGGAACCCATGGGAATAATAATATGATAATAAGACATAAAATCGTTTCTGTGTTTATATATAAGTTATCAGACCGAATTTTTTTTTTGAATAAGATGCAAACACTGGGCTGTAAGGGTAACAACAAGGCATTAAAGTGCACAGATTACAGGATTATGTAATTGATTAGGAAATGATCAACTAACAAAATGAGATGTGAAAAATATGTGTTCTGAGTCAAACTCATTTAGTTACATATATGTAAAAATTTATCAACAGATTTGATAAAACTGAAGAAATTGTAAGATACCACAAAGAATAAAAGTCTTGTATTCATCCACATATAAGTGAACATGGCCCGGGGCTCAAACCCCGGCCACGGACGCACTCCTTTACCTCGCTAAACCAGAAATAAAGCTGGTAAAGAGGAAAGGTTGGGCATGAGGCTAGCAACCCCATCCTGTAAAAATAAACACTGCTACAGAAACTTCAAGCCTGCAGCTTGAAGCCCTATGTTCCACTGGGAAGGTGAAGGAAAAATTATTTTTATTTTTATTCATCCATATATAGTTTAAAGACGACAGCATCTGTGAGTTAGGTTGACTAGACCATTTCCTATGCCTAAACTGACTCCTGTGTATCAAAACAGTGTGTGCTTGTCAGTTCAGTCAAAAGTCGATAGTTACCCTTTCTTTGTTCATATCTTGTTACCGAAACTGAGACATTGGAAAGACAGAAAGAAGGGCTTCTCTTAGATTTTCTGATCACATACCGAAAAGTTTGTGATTAAGAGGCAGTATAACTTTGAGCATTACAGTCTGGTCGACAATAGGACATCAGATAGACACAGTCAAGCTCAAACCTTACAACGTTCTCAGATGTCATTACTGTCAAATGATGAAAACCTGACTTGTGCATGCTAAAATAAGTTGTAGCAAGTCCTTCTCTTCCTTAGCAACTCGACTTTTGACCTTATTTAATTATATCATCTTTTATTAAATATAGATATTGATTTGTTTTCACATTCGCTTGGTTATATTATCACTTATTAAATATCATGCTTCACATGAATGATATCTAACTATAAATGAGCTCAACTCGCACTAATCTTGTTCATATTTTAATTTTGTTTGTTTGTCAACGATTTTCTAACAGCTTAAGTAGTCTTAGAATTTATATATTACAATATCTCGGTGTTACCCTTACTGTCTATTGTTCGCGTTTTATTCAAGAAACTTCAACCCTATTACGTTTAAGTAAAACAGTAATTTTTTATATGTTATTAACTTAACTCTCCGATGCATCTGTGTGCACACCACGATCAATGCTAATTATTGTTCCATATTTAGGCTTCCTAGTGAACTGAATTATGTTAAAATTGTAATAATAAATGAAATCCTGTAACCAATCAAATCCTTGCAAACCGACATTTGAATATCGATGAGATGCTCACTAGCGACTTGCCCTATTCAGGTAGGTAGTTACCTGGGGTTCTAGTGAGACGTCATGACCAATAGGGTGCAGAAGGTCGGGTGTGAGGACAAATACTCGCCAAAGGCATTGCCTAGCGGTCGCGCTATGTCGTGAATAGGCAGAAGTTAGAATTCATGGGGTGGCTGGCCATTTGATCGTGTCCCAGTTGCTGCTGAATGGTCTACGAGCTCTCTAGCCTTGTAACCAGGAGATCCTGGGTACGAACCGTGGAGATGGGTGCGTACCGCTCAAGAGTCTAAAACTAGGACGAGACAGCTGTCCAGTACTCCCAGGTTTTCCAATGGTTCTGTAGCCAATGTCAGCTCATGATGAAATCCTGTAAATAACAAAACTATTGGCTTTCATTATTCCGATTTTGTGTAGTTGGCAAAAGATACATTGAAGACATAAACAACATCAGAATACTCCCCAACCACGCTTCTCGTGACCTGGGGCTAGATCCCCAGCCAACACACTTAACCTCGCTTTCCCGGTTTTAAGCCGGGTAGAGAAGGAAGGTTAGGCATGGGGCTAGTAAACCAACTCCGTAAAAATAAAACAAAATCGTCATCGAAACAAAAGCCTAAAGCCCCATATTCCACTAAGGACTCAAAGAAATCAAATGAAATAATAAGTGATAGCATCATAAGCGGAAAATCACTTACTTGTTGTTAGAAATCCGTGTGATACACCAGCTATAAATAAAACAAGTGTCAAGGCGATTATATCGCTACACCATGGTACAATGATTGTTGAAATAGCACCAACTATCAGAGATGACATTATGAATACTCCACGTAATCCCTTGAAACGATCAGATAATATTCCCCCGAATAATGATCCAAATAACAAACCAATTGCTCTAGTTGACAATGCCATACCAATATGTTCATAATCTGAGCGTGTATTATGCATAAGTGTAGGTAAAGTTGGACCCAATACTTCACTATACAAACCCTAAAAGTTTTGGATAGATACAAAAGTAACACTAGATTTTCAAATAAATGCATTAAACAGAATTATTTCAACTATAGAGCCATTAAAAAACAGACAGTACTGGAGTTTCATTTCTTCCTATTATGCCATTTCTATCCACGTTCAAACCAGGGATAGAATCCACGACCTCGAAGCCACAAAGATACATGTCTGTAGACGACTTAGCAATGAGAAAGGAATCCAATCGCCCATGAATTCCAGCTTTTACTGATTCGTGACTACCCCCCCCCTTAAGCGATCTGGTACGATCAAGGGTGGATAAAATTCAATCTTCCTCTCGAAATGCTCTCATATGGCCTCGAGTTCGTAGCCTTTGTCAGATAAGGCCTATTCACTGAATTCACACCATGGGGATTTTCCACACAAAAGCGAACGAGAGTATCCAAAAGTCTGGCGCTTACAACCAGACTGATAGACATCCTGGCCTTCCCTAGGGGCATTGGAAAACCCTGACTCGAAACCTATGGTGTACGAATCTGTTCCAATCACCGGAGACCACAGCATTGTAGCTCTTTACTCTGTTCCTCTGCCTTGTGGACCAAACTGCATTTCGAAGGCTTAAGAGTAGTCCCTAAGAATAACCACCTGTTCCGATTTGAGCATTTGGGCAGTATCTTAGCTATCGCACAAACTATGAGACAATTTGTGCGGTGTGCATCTCTCTGTGTCCAGAATCTATCAAGTTTTAGCCTGAATAATATCCACTAGCTCGAATCGGGTAATGTTTACAAACGTGGAACACTCCCATTAGACTTCAGCGGAAACAATAAAATTAGTCTCAGAGAAAACAAGTTTCTCTTTTCGATGAAGTAATCAACAATATCCGTGTATGTGCAAAACAGCGTTAGAATGTTCCATGACTATTTCCAATCAGAGGTCAAAATAATAACGCATAAGAAGATAAAGTTAGATAGCATAAGTGGGAATTATACAATAAGAAAATAAGCAAAAGGTACAGATAGAGGACATAATTAAAAGAATATGATTTTTTCAAGAATGTAGACTCCTTGTAATGATCATAGTAAGCATAAAGGTTCAGCTTGTTTACTTAGATACACAATGAGACGCCTTGAATTTTCTGAGAGATAGTAATAGTAATAACAGCTTTATTCTGGACAAAACGTTTACATAATGTACAGATATGTCATCGCAATTTATCACTTAATATTTCCTCTTTTTTCAGAATTTTCAAGTAAAATACCAATCTATGGTACATCTTGTCAAGCTGTGTTATTCAGTCTGAAGCGTAGACTAGTACCTTATGCTATTTTATTACTTTATTTCGAAAAAATTACACCCCAATAGTTTGTAAATCAATTAAAAGTGCGCATGAGTACATTTTGTTACTTAAGGACAATAACTGAATACTTAAAACAATGAGAATTAGGAAGAATATAATGGACTTATTTTCTAGGATGGAATATGAAGTAGCTCAAAGATACAAGCAAGCCACTGTCAAAAAACTGTCTACTCTACTCAAGTGTTTTAGTCTAACTGCTTTAAATATGTTAATATATGTGTAAAACTTGGATACTGTGGTAGTAAGTAATTCCATATTAGTTTGTTTATTATTATTATATTAAATATTCCCATACTCAAATTTAGAACAACACATTAAAGCTAACAATATTGTTTTCAATTAGATCTCATCAGGCTTAACTATATATATATATATATATATATATATATATAAGTTTACAAATAAAAATTCAAATATAAACCAATCATGGTGTTTTGTCTATAGGATAATACGATGGTGAATATAAATTGTTCAATTAGTCATAATAGTAGTAATGATAATAGGGATAATTATAATGGTTTTATCAATAATAAGGATGAAAAAGTGAGGCAATCTGTGATAATACGAATAATGAAAAACATTCATTGTGCAGCCTCAAAGAATTACTTCTTAAATGCACAATGAATGTTCACTTTATCTTCAATAATTCATACTATCGACAAGTAGATGGAGTAGCTATGAGTTCACCATTAGGCCGAATTGTTGCTGAAATTCAACAACATCCACCCTTCGCTTACCTTTACTTCTGAAGAGAAGCAAAAGAATAAACTACATTTCCTGAATGTCTTGCTAAGTAGGAGAGAAGATGGGTCACTTGGGAGAAGCGTGTATAGAAAAAGCAAATTCACAGGGCAATACACACACTTCCTTAGATACGTGTCCACTTGATGTTTTAAAAAATGTTGTTAAATGTCTTACGAGCAGAGCAAGAAAGATATGTACGAATGACCTCTTACAAAAGGAATTTGAATATATTCACGATTCCTTGACGGAAATGGGCTATACGAGTAGTTTTATAAAGAAACATATGAAAACATCAGAGAAACAACCTGAGACTCTGACTGTACATAAGAAACATCTATTTATTAAGTTACAATTCAATGGTGACTTATCAAGTGAGATTCTATTCCAAAGACTTTCAAGGAGTATACGTAGAACATTTACGCAGTATACTTATGTTTGTCATTCTCTAGCCGACAAATGATTGGGACGCAAAAGAAGGATAAGCTTGATATTTTTGTCACATCAATGTGTATTTATCAATTCAACTGCACCTGCGGTGACAGTTATGTTAGGCGTACTACTAGACAGCTTAGCCGACGTGTTAGTGAACATCTCCCATCGTGGTTTGACAAAGGACAGACAAAAACAATCCGTAGCTCAATTCAGTCACATTTAATTGATAGTGGTCATGTAGTTGAGAAAACGAAAGCCTTCAAAGTAATTCAACGTATCCCACCGAATTTTTCTGATAAACTTCGTATTCGTCTACTACACACACCTGAGGCGATAGTTATTCGAACTATTAAACCTAAACTAAGGAAGTTCGTACAGCCATTATCCCTCCCTTGCTTGGCCTATTAAGACATAACCAACTAAAGACTTCTACACCACCCCTTATTTATATTTTCAACCCCTTTCTTATCATCCCTTAATCTTATCACATATTCATTATAAACGTGTTTCACTTCCTTCCCTTACAATCTAACATTACTTAATCGGTTCATTTGTTTTTACTAGCCTTTATCGACTACTTCCACCTGAACAATTGTTTGTTTAATCATGCTGTTTTTTTTCATTATTCGTGTTATCACAGATTGCCTCACTTTTTCATCCTTATTATTGATAAAACCATTATAATTATCCCTATTATCATTACTACTATTATGACTAATTGCACAATTTATATTCATCATCGTATTATCCTATAGACAAAACACCGTGATTGGTTTATATTTGAATTTTTATTTGTAAACTTATATATATTAGAGTTAAGCCTGATGAGATCTAATTGAAAACAATATTATTATTATCACTATTATTATTATCATTATTATTATTATCGCTCCTATCATTATTTACTTTATTTTTACATTTTGCTTACATAGAATGGTAGTAGCGATTGTGATAATAATAATAATAATGACAATAATAATGATAATAATAATAATCGTGATACTAATGACGACACCAACAATAAGGAATCTAAATCATCACTAGTAATTCCATACAAGGAAGAAACCTCGGAAACCACCTTACGCAGAATTCTTAACAAGGCAGGAATAAAAAGGTTGGCATTCAAACCCACAAACTCAATTAGAAACAGGCTTCGTCGGTTAAAGGATAAGTCCTGTGGAGACAATAAAACAAAACACTTTAGTTTATCTAATACCCCGCCTTCAATGATTGTCAGGTCAAATACATAGGTCAAACTAGTAGAACGGGGTAGTCAGACTAGCCCAACATAAGAACCTAGCTAAATCTAGAATGGTTGACCCAAATAAGATAAGAAATCTAGAGAATAGTTCAGCTATAGCACTTCATGCAGTCGCACACAACCATAAAATAGGACGGGATAGAATGACAGTTTTAAAATCTAATTCAGTAGCAGGGTGGAGGGAGAGATTGATAACAGAAGCTTTGCTTATCTAATCAACTGCAAATACATGTAATAGGAATGATTCAACACCTGTCCAGGCAGATATCTGGAAAATTCTACTACCCCAACAGAGATAAATAGGAGAAAACAAAAAAAACTATAAAACTCAAGTTTCAAAGTCGTGTGATTATAATTGCTGTTATGATTATGAACAATAAATTGTGTACGAAACCTTGTCATCTAGTAAATAATACTGCTTCATTGTGTGATACGCCTAACAAACTAATATGCTATTGCTTTAAATATGATTTTGAACGATTTTCTCAACTACAACTAGGTACCACAACTTCACAGTATTTTTTGTTATTGACCTGAAGACACACTTCCATTCTCATTTTGCTAACAGCGTTGAGTAGTATCCGAGACAGTGTTTTATAAGCTAATGCAGATGTGCTCACCTTGATGGCATCAAAAACTATGGTATTCTGTACATTAAGTTAATAAATAAGTCTGTATTCATAAGAGGAAAATCACTTTGGCTAAGAGTGGATAAATAACATCACTGGTTAACTGAATATTTTTAGATGGAGGTCTCGTTGTGATGATTACTTCATTTGAGATAAATATTCATTCAGACGGAAATAACCTCAACAAATTTTAAAAATCAATATATGCCTGTTAAAGTAATTTTTGTCTCAATGCATCATTTTTACAAAATCAATTAACTAGTACATGAAAGCCAACGCAAAGAATAAGAAGAGTAGTCGTTTATTGTATTCAATTAACAAGTTCCAGGAATTTCACTCATCCCTTGGCATAATCAAAAACACGTAACTAGAAATTATTTTATTTTTATGAATATAAAATTAATGATTAATACATCGCTCATGTAGATCTGAGTACCTAAGGCCTAACATGTCTCCCATAGTACAATACACATGCGAACTAGAATGTTACAGCTATTAACCAATTTCTAGTTGCTTTCATTCATTGTAGACTGTTTACTCAACGATGATTAATCATGACTGATGTTAAAAATTTGCCCAAAAGTGCAACAGTCCA